GCGGCATTTAGTTTCATTCAGACATTTTCACAAACACCATATATGCATAAAGAAGAGGACAAATACAAGAAACAACCTGACCAAGTCCAAGATCCCACTGTCCAATCAGCAACACAGAAGAGAAATTCTGAAGGCTTATCCTGGAGCTGGATAAAGTTTAGCAAAATCGCAAGGGAAGCAACAAAATTCGAACAGTCGATAGAAAGAAGAAGAAGATGGGGACGCCACTGTGCCCATTCGTGAAGGCCGGTCTGCCATCAGAGCCAAGCAATAAATAGGTCCCTCCCCGCTAAGCAGTAATAGCCAACCGCGCTGGGAGCTCTCTTCGAGGAAAATCCTCAATCTGCCAACGATGCTTGGAGGAAGCTCCACTCTGATCCTTTGCGTATGATTGGGAGTATGGATTTTATTGACAACTAATATACCCTCTGATGTCAACTAATCCATGTGATTATTTTCACCCAACAACTTTGCAGTATTTACCCAGATGAGCAACATGCATACTCGTCTCTCATCAGCAAGAGAACATGAAGAAGAAGCAGTGAATCAACGGTGCAAAGAAATCAAACTCTGCTCTCAGTCGCAGAAACCTGAACCAGAGTGGACCCGAGCCATTGAACACCTTGATGAAAATATGAAAAATTCCCAATTCAAGAACCGAAAATCTCGAACCATGACTGCGAAGGTTCTCTCGCAGCCCAACAGCGTCGTTGCAAATGGCGAACAGAACGGAGCACAGAAAATCAACACAAGAACAATCGCTGAATCTAATGGAAATTTGAAGAGAAACTAAACTAGGAAGAGACAACAAAAAAAAAAAAAAATTGTAAACTACTATGAAGAGAAACCATCAGAATCCATGGCGTGAGCCTGATGGCTCTGATACCATATTAACTACATTGTAAAAGATGAAGAATTGGTACAAAGGAAGATGAAGATGATAGAGAGAAAAACTAGAAAGATTGTATTGATTAAAATGGAGAAAATGTATACAAAAGAACTTAAGGAAATGATAGCTATACAATCCCTTATATAGCCATATAACCTAATTACAATAATACCCTTCTAACTATACTAACCAATCTTATCCTTATGACAACCTACCAACACATTTCAACTAACTATATTCTTCATTACTAAGTAACCATGTCATCACTAATGACTATGGTTAATACGCAGAACCTTTTGCTTTGCATCCGGTGCTACACGAGCTGCTAGCTACGCAAATGAAAGAAGAATATATTGAGTCATATTTTTTCATTTACGGTGGAAACTATTCTTCATGTTTTTTCTGTTTTTACATCGCCTTGTACTGTCCTGTTTCCTTTCTCTGTCATTGTGAGTGTCGAAGTCTCAATATGTATATATACGCAGTTCCTTTTCAAAGAAATGAGAGAATGATGGAGTAATTCAGGTCCGAGGTTGAGGCTTTTGTCAAGGCAAGTTACCCAGAGAAATTAAAGGTGACCAAGTATTAACAATGAAGGTTTAAGAGGATGACGGAGAAGTGACTGAATGAAGACTTAAATGCTCGTTCATGTAAGATTCTTATATTACGTATTACTTAAAACATGTATGAGTGAAGTGTAGCAGGGAATTCTTCAACTTTTGTTTCTATCGTATTTCCTCCAGAGGAAGGGGATTGTCCTTTGTTTCTGGTGACTCATTTTTTTCTGTAGATTTAGGATATAGTAGTGGGATGAATATTTAAGTTTAGGGCTGTGTCTGAGGTTGCTTCTTTGTTATTGAAAGGTTACAGGTTTAAGTTGTAGAAGCAGCCTCTTTGCAGAGCAAGGATAAGACTGCGTATGATAGACTTTGCTTCTAACCCTCGGAGAGTGGGAAGCCTTATTAGTTTGGGGTTGCCCTCTTTTTAGGCATGTTGGCCTGTATCCGAGTATTATGCCTGGTATAATAATGACACAAGTTAGAGCCATCAAGTTTTCTTCCGGAAGCAAAGGATATAGGGAATGATTAGACAGGTATTCAATAGGGAAGTCATTAAATTTTCGTAAAGAAAATTTATTTTTATGGACGTTATGATTAGGCATTGTCAAACGCACCATATGATGGTGATATCAGTCGAAGAGAGTTCTAAACTAAGCAAACTCCAAATAGAGGAGCGATTGGACTCAGGTGCATTGAGATTAATACGAAAGCCCGAAACTCCTGTAGCAATCCACACATCGCAATCATTTAGACAATTTTAAATCTCTAGTCCCTGATTTTAAACAGTTGAATTGTGGCGGCAATTATGTAATATGAACTAAAGTAAATCGTTTTTGTTAGAAAATTCAAGAATGTAACATGAGTTAGCAGCAAGAACCAATGCTTTACATTTAATCAAATTTAGGGACCAAATTGAATAGATTTTTAGTTCAGGAATCAAAGTTACAATTTGTTGATAATTCATGCACTATTGCCAATTTCCTCTTTAGATTAAGATTCCTTGTTTCACATGTTTTTAATTAAACATTTATGCCTTTTAAATTCATTTTAAGAAGCAATTCTCTTACAATTTGTGTGGCCCGTCTATCTATAAATTAAGAGAACACACATTGTAGTGAAACCATAAAATTATAGGACTAAGTCATTTTAAAAAACCCTAGCAGCACAGAGAAAAAAAGCAAAGAAAATCTTCCGCTGCCTTTGATCTTGAGGTCGACAGCAACGCTTCTTAACAATCCTTTTTAGCGTCTTTTCTCCCCTTGCTTTTACTTTTGGTGCTTATTGCTGTCTCAAAACGCTATAATCGTCGGGATAGTATCCATTTTTTGGCTCACACACACAACCAACACGAGATTTTATCCACAGTTGACACTTTTGATATGGAATTGGAGTTGAAATGTGGATTCATTAGATTGCGTCAAGCTAGGGTTTAGTTTTGATTTTGTTTAATGATTTTCAAAATACTAGGAGATTGCTGATATTGGTTTTGATTGCTCTCTTTATGAGAGTGGTTTTTGTTGGAGCAATATTAGCAAATATGAAAATAACACAAGAATTCTAATAACAATAATCATAAAGAAATTCACAACATCAATTATGTATGAGATTAATACAAACAACTAGAGAACCTAAAGACAAAATTTCACCCATACTCTTGTGCTTGTAGTTCAGTAGGCGTCTGTTTCCTAGGATTCAACAATCTGTAATTCAAAGTCAAAGCATTTCAATCTTCAAACTCAAACGAACTTTATATATTTCGTATTATCAAGACACGACTCGAAATTCAACATTAAAGAATGAGAGAAACAGAGTGGGGAAACCTATTTCTCAAGAATAAAAAATTAACTCATTTTGTATATTTAATACCAAGGATTAACCCAATTACTTATTAAATAGATGTAACTTTTCATCTATTAGTATCCATCATTTAGCAAAGGAATGCACCTAAACATCATAACCTTTCTAAGAAATATGGTTAACACTATTTTTCATTCAATTATTAAAATTATATATTACAATATTCCATATTATAACAAATAATTTCTAACAATCCCCCACATAAATGAAAAATTAGAAGAATCTGAGAGTACAGGAGGACAAGAGATGCATCGGGAGAGGTGTCTTTTGGACTTCAACCTACCATAATAAATACTTATCAAATTTACTTGGTGACGCAATGGAAGATTTGGAACTATTCACCACAGCAGTAAACCGAGACAATAAACAACACACATCACTAATACTAATATATTACGGTTCATACGGTTGTATTCATTTTGGTCCTGAACAAATCCCGGATTCATGAGAGTTTTAGATAATTTAACCATCTCATACTCATAGAAGCGACCACTTCTGCTTTCACATAGGTGACCACTAATTAAGAATAGTCTGCTCTATTCCTCTTATTTACAAGATACCATTGTCATTAAGTATAAATATAAACCCTAAAACATTTGTAGACAACACACTTCTTCCACCGTAGAAATGAGTTATATGGTGTGTTAACTTCTTTGAATCACGCCCAACCAGTTTGCCTATTTAACTTAGACCATGAGATCTCCAATCAACTAAGTTAGGTTTCCGCCTGGCTGATTCATTAGTTATGTTAGTTTTAGCCTCATTCCCCTCAATGATCAACTTACTCTCTAGTTTAACCTTTAATAATTGGTACCACTTAGGTTGACTATCTTTAATGGTGTGCATAATCCATCTTATGAAATTATATTTCATACGAGAGTAGTTGTTTAAAATATTAGGTCCTCAAACATGGATTATGACTTATTCAATAATTTGCTAACACTAGGAAGTAGACTTCCCTCACATTTAAGGTATTTTGAAAGAATGCCTTTAGCCTCTTCACACCTTAAAAGTCATTCATAATAAGAGATATTGCTTATAATATCTTTTAAATGCAAATTACTCTTCCTAATTTAGACATTGTTCTTTGCCTTATTTGACAAGCCATCACAATACATGCATGACCATTCATATGCTTACTTAATAAGCATCATCATGTCTAATACATTTTTCCAAAAATCCCACATTTTAATGTCTAGTCTTTTCCTCTCCCAAAGACCCCCACACTTCAATGTATAATTCCTCTCACATTTTATTTCTTGTCTTTTCCTTTTCCAAAGACCCCCATACTTCCAATGTATAATTCCTCTCAAAGGATTTTCCTTTGGTTTCATCCATGACTAACATGGGCACTGCAAGATTCCTTTTATGATGCTTACTATAAAACTGATCGTCTTCTTTTGCTAGTACTTGTACTTACTTACTAGTCTGAAACTGTTTCTCTATAGCACTAATAACACATTTTGCAAAGAGTTGCATAGGCTTGTAAAAATAATCACATTAGTACCATCTTGTGTGGTTTTCTGCATGTGTTTTCACAGTTCTCTTTTCAAACTGTTCATTCATGATATTTCTTCATAAATAAATGAATATTCATCTTCATTTCAAATTAGAATCAAACAACCATCACATTCCCTTTGGTATAAAAATCAAAGGACATTTGGCATATTTCAATACCAAACTTCTCTACTTCGATAACACATCTCCTTTTTGAAAAAATAAAAAAAAAGATCCATTTCATGAACTAGTGTGAATCCAGTACACCACTTTGGCGTTCGCTTGGCCTTATAATAAAGCTGAGACAGAGCTTATTTGTGATCCTAAAGTTGCAAATGAAATATTTATTTCCCTCTGTTTTCATCCGCTCTGTCATATGCATATGATTAGCATGCCAATGAAGACCATAAATAATTACAAAGAACAACATAAAGCATTCAGTTCACCAATACTCTATTAAGAGACGGTCAAACATATGATTATACAAATCATATATAAGAGCCACTTAATATTATAGTCTTAATGATATTTCTCTTCATTGGTAAGTGAGAGATTTTAGTTTCAATTCTCATCAAAAGAGAAGTTGAACCACATTACTGCTAGCCTATTGTGAAACTAAGCCCATCCCCTCCCCTTAGTGTGGACAATATCGTCTGTTAAAAAAAAATCATAGATAAAAAGAAATACTCAATGCATATACTTCAAGTAACACGCATGATTATACGATTCATATATAAGAGAAAGTACTCTATATTTATACTTCAAAGTAACAAGCTTTATACGAATCCAAAATTATTATAGGGTGTGAACAACTATATTATACAATCAACTTTGAAGGGTTATCCATAGCTCAATTTTCAATACTAATTATCGCCCAACTCAAGTAAATAGAACTTCAAAAAACAGAAGACCCAATACAAAAATATTAATCATTCTAATATCTATATCCACTAACCCTAGAACAAATATAACTGAGATTTCTTAACATATGTGAAGAATCGAAGATAAATAAGATCGAAAACACTTGCAATCGTACATAAAAATTGCAAAAAAAATATTCAAAATTCAAACAAAAACCACAATCGAAGATGAATGCTTGTACCTGAAATCCAATCGAGATAACAATTTGCAAAATAAACCGATAATGGCGATGCATAAGTGTGCTGGTTTGTTGGTTTGAGGAAGCGTTTGTACAATATTCAATCACATATCTGGACAGATGGTCACAATATTATACTAAAAAATATCGAGTGTCCAAAGAAAGTCTCCAATGAAATTTTTTGAAAAGATCAAACAAATATCATCAAGAAGGAAAATGCTAGTTTCTCACCAAGATTATCGAACCCTATTGTTTGTTGAGACCAAGTTGAACGGCTACATTAATGATATCGTCCCATATGGTATGAGATCACTAGTAAAAAAAACACTTTGCGCGACGCAGGTCCTTCGTCGCGCAAAGTCAAAAAACGTCGCGCAAAACTTTGCCCAACGAACCTTCGTCGCGCACAAACCGTCGCGGCAAGGCAGTGACAGAAGGCTTTGCGCGACGAAAGGTTACATGCGTCGCGCAAAGCCACTTTGCGCGACGCAACCTGCGTCGTGCAAAGTGGCGTCGCGCGAAAATTCTTTGCGCGACGCATGCCCCTGAGTCACACAAAGTAACTTTGCGCGACGTAGGTCACTCTTCGTCGCGCAAACCCTTTTTTTTTTTGACAATTTTTTTTTATAATTTCTACTAATATTGTAATTAAATTCTAAAAAATAATTAATAAACCAAGAAAATTTATTTAATTATAAAATATATGAAAATATACAAACAAGATGTTCGAACAAAAAAGAAAAAACTACAAGTCTTCTAGGTTTAATACATCATGCTACTGGGTATCGGCTGGGAAGTCGAAGGTGGAGCAAGATTAGGTGCTGGCATCGAGATTTGAAGGCCGGACATCGCTAAGGCCCGTACAATCGTGCTCATCTTCTCGTCCTGGGCCCTAATGTGCTTGACTATGGAAGACGAGGAAGCGTGATCAGAAGGCTACGTCTCCATCAAACAATCCATTCGAGAGACATCACAATGATCAACCAGGGCAGTGCTTATGTTGTTGCGTAATGCTCAACCAGAATATGCCCTGCACCTAGAGCTGCCTCACGTAGACTCATTTTCATCAGCAAGACCTGTAAGAGTATAAGATCCCATTAAGTTTAAATAGTGCACCAAAGTCCTATAGTGATACATGATACCATATTTTACAGACTACCATCCTAAACCATCCACAAACTGTACTTACCATCTAAAATAGCAGGCAGGCCCTGCTGTAAATAGTTATGGAATTGGACGCCCAATGACCTTGGTAAATACTACAACCAATTTCCAAACAAAGGCGACCATTAAACAGAGCAGGTAAAACAAATACTTGCAGTAGTGGTTAAAATGTTTAAAACATACTGTCTTCACCTTAAATAATGTTAAATATCCATCACGGACAGATGCTTTTTGATGAGAACAGTTTCGGATAATATCAGGAAGTGCAAGCTTAAAGTACTTTAGGATGTGTTAAAACCTGCAAGTGCAATAAAGCATAAGATAACAATATGCATATTTTAAAAGTGCTACATAAACTCGTGTCCATGACTCCATATAAAGACAAACCTCAGTCAATTTTGGAACAATCTTAGGGAGACACTGAGACAGCTGTTGAGGAGCAAAATAGGCCATAGCCCTAAGCAATTGGACACTACTTTGCTTTGTTCGCCAAGCTTTATCTTCAAGACCCTATCAAAATAATGTATTTATACATCATTGTCAGAGACTAAAATGACAAACTTGATGATTAAGGAACTTCCAAACAAGTTTATAAATAAATGGGTAAGGTATAAGGTAATTACCTTCAAAAGAGATGGAAGAACCAGTTTAACTCCTTGAGCATTAAGTTGAGACATCATTGCACGAGCTGCACACTCGGCACCTTCACGAACTGCAACAACTTGATCAAGGAATGAAACCAACAGTAGTGGCAACATTTTAATTATATACTTGCATCAAAAAGATGATAGGAGGACAGTTAGAGTGAGAGTTCAGGTGAATATTAAGTCCATATAGAGAACTTCTTTGTACATAACCGATCACTTACGGCTCAAATAGTCTTCCAGGTGGTTCACAGAGACACTCAAATCCGAGTAAAGCACCTTCACGACATTTTGCTGAATTCCTGTAATGGAAAGGAAATACAAAAATGAATAGCTGCATCCCCAAAAAAGAATAAAATAGCAACAATAAGATGCATAAGAAACAGAAGCATTGAGTGATCAAGTGATCTTGCAACAATAAATGATTCGAGTCGCAAGACCCTTCTATACTAGAAGTTGCAACATAAGATTCATAACCAATGAGAAGAGGAAAGAAAACTCCACAACCTCATAATCAACAATTATTTGTCCCCACAGAATATACTAGCTTAAGTGTAGTCCAACAACACTATGATCAATCATTCAATGACTAATCAGTCTTGACCTGTATTTTCTGGAATTCTTGTGTTTAGAAACATAATAAATCTCACAAAATATAATTGCCAACAACATATACAGAAATTCCCATTGATGATGACAAATCCTTTTTTATATACTATATTGATCCAATAAATAGGGTCTCTGATGATGTATAATGTATAAGTACAATGGTTATATAAAATGTATAAGCACAGTGGTTATACAAAAGTATTCGATTATACAATAAAATTATCCTATCCTACTCTCAATCTCCCAAATATCACCAACTAATGATCAAGGCAGCTACAAAACAGAAAACAAAAAAGTGAGTTCTATTGAATTCATTTACATATACCCTACACCATTAAGACTTAGTAATAAATTTATATTCATGTATTCCATAAAGAAAAGAACCTCATCATATAGAACAATTATAGGTACATAATGATTTGATAAGATAACACTTAAACTGTGCAAGACCTTGCTATTGCACCAGCATGGTAGCAAAGCGTAAATTATTTTAATCAGGTACATACCAATCGGTTGTGAATTTTCTGACTGCAGGTTGTTGCAATACCAGCCACAACAATCTTAGCATCAACCTCGTCCTGCAATAAAAACTGCCGCCATAAATCAAAATTGAAGAATTCAAACTTCGAATCGAAGAATTTCGCAATCCCAGAAGCCGAATTCAACCACAAAAAATAGAGATAAATTGAATAATATAAATAAAAAATAACCTGGAGAAGGGGCTGAAAGGGAAGCTTTGATGAGGGTTGAAGGCCATGACTTTACCCAGATTGACTTGAATCTGCTGCCGCGGGTTCTTCATTGCTGCGACGATGTCCATGAACTTGCTGCAGTTGCTTTTCGTCTTCTCCTCCCTCCCTCCCTCCTCTCTGCAAGCCGCAGTCTTCCCTTCACCGAATCACTCTCTCTCTCTCTCCCTCGCCCTCTATCTCTCCTCCTCTCTGTAAGCCACATGCCTTCCCTTCACCACATCCCACACAGAGCCGTCGATCCCATAGAAAGGGTTAGGGAGGATGCGAGGATTTGAGCTCAGGGAGGGGAGAGAGAGAGCGGCTGGGTAGAAAATTAGAGTAGTGGTGGTGGTTGGATTCGAGATTGTGAAGAGGAAAGACAGGTCTGGGTTCAAGATTTGGGGTTCAAGGTTGCGAAGAGGAGAGAGAGGTCTACGGAAAAGAGAGGGAGAGATGAGCGAGAGGGAAAGAAAGAGTTGGGGTCCAAACTTGGAAAATTGAAAAAAAAAAACGCCTATTTTTCACTATTGTACCGCCAAAATTATGATACCTGGCGCGACGTAGGTATATAATTTGACGTCGCGCAAAGTGGTTTTGCGCGACAACCACATTAAGGCGTCGCGTAAGGTATTTTTCAAAAAAAAATTATTATAAAAATTATTGAAAATGTGACTTTACTCCTATCAAATTCAATTTTTTTTTTTTACATAAACTCCACAATAATATATTTTTCTAACAAAAACCCACAATAATTTTTTTTACATATATATCATTCAATTTCTTAAGTGTTATAAGTAAAAAATAAATAAATTAAAATCTACTTAGTAAATATATATACCATTGAACTTGATGGGAAACGCATTGTATGAAACTAGTTTCAAAGATCCAACCGTCAAACTTGTTTGTATAAGTTTAGAGATCGCATACACCAAAAATCGTAAAAAACAAACATGCACATATCAAGTAACGGGATAAAACTTTTCAACGGTTATAAACAAAAAACCACGATTTAACGGTAGTTTTAACTCCGATTTTGATGATTTTTTACAGCTACACTCCTTAACCCTATATGAATACAATGAACAAATTCGATTGTCAATTTAAAATATTTACACTAGTGGATATCACAAAATCTTATGTTATACTTAATGAAAGTATAAATAAACTCAAAGTATTAGTGAATCTATTGTTTTGATGGGATACGCACTGTACGAAACTAGTTCCAACGATCCAACCGTCAAACTTGTTTGTATATGTTTCGAGATCGCATACGCCAAAAATCACAAAAAACAAACATTCAGAGATCAAGTAACGAGACAAAACTTTTCAACGGTTATAAACAAAAAACCACGATTTAACGGTAGTTTTAACTCCGATTTTGATGATTTTTTACAGCTACACTCCTTAACCCTATATGAATACAATGAACAAATTCGATTGTCAATTTAAAATATTTACACTAGTGGATATCATAAAATCTTCTGTTATACTTAATGAAAGTATAAATAAATAAACTCAAAGTATTAGTGAATCTATTGTTTTCATGGGATACGCATTGTACGAAACTAGTTCCAACGATCCAACCGTCAAACTTGTTTGTATATGCTTCGAGATCGCATACGCAAAAAATCACAAAAAACAAACATTCAGAGATCAAGTAACGAGACAAAACTTTTCAACGGTTATAAACAAAAAACCACGATTTAACGGTAGGTTTAACTCCGATTTTGATGATTTTTTTACAGCTACACTCCTTAACCCTATATGAATACAATGAACAAATTCGATTGTCAATTTAAAATATTTACACTAGTGGATATCACAAAATCTTATGTTATACTTAATGAAAGTATAAATAAACTCAAAGTATTAGTGAATCTATTGTTTTCATGGGATACGCATTGTACGAAATTAGTTCCAACGATCCAACCGTCAAACTTGTTTGTATATGCTTTGAGATCACATACACCAAAAATCGCAAAAAACAAACATTCAAATATCAACTAACGGGACAAACCTTTTAGATGGAGATAAACAAAAAATCATGATTTAACGGTTATTTTAACTCCGATTTTGATGATTTTTTTACAGCTACACTCTTTAACCCTATATGAATACCATGAACTAATTCGATCGTCAATTTAAAACATTTACACAAGTGGATATCACAAAAGAAAAATGCAATGCAAGAACACCAAAAGAAAAGCAAAAGGGCAAAAAAAAAAAAAAAAAAACACTTTGCGCGACGTAGGTACCCTTGCGTCGCGCAAAACAGCTTTGCGCGACGCAAGGCCACCTACGTCGCGCAAAGTTGGGAAAAAAGTTTGGTTTGGCGCCAAAATCCTGCGCGACGCAGACAACGTCGCGCAAACATGCTTTGCGCGACGAAGTATGGCGTCGCGCAAAACAACTTTGCGCGACGAAGGTACATCTACGTCGCGCAAAACAGCTTTGCGCGACGCCAGCCTGCGTCGCTCAAAGTGTCGTCGCGCAAAAAATGTTTGCGCGACGTTTTCTGTTTAGCGTCGCGCAAACATATTTTGCGCGACGAATTTTGCTGCGTCGCGCAAGTTTCCGTCGCGCAAACATGTTTTTGTACTAGTGGATGCTGGAAGAGTATCAAGAATTTCCCAGATACTAATTCAATCGACTCATTTAATACAAAGTCTAGAATATGTTGATAAGTGGGGCTCATCATAGGAAAAACTCCATCCACAAACCCCTTAAATTTGTATCAAGCAGATAAAATAGGCTTCAGCTTTTCAGCCCCGCAAACGCCTACTTCAATAAAATAAAAAAGAATTCTAAACGCATATTTTCCACCTCAATAGAATTTAAAATAAATAAATAAATAAATAAAACTTGGAATATAGAGTTTAATCAAAAGTGAAAGCACTTTAATCTAAAGTTGGAAAGTAACAAATGTTAATCTGAAAAAGTATTTGATTCTAATTTTTGCAATAAAAAATTTCAAAACATATTAGTCAAATTGTAGGTAGATTAACAAAATGTGTATGAAGAGAGATGTTGGGTGGGAAAATCCAGGGTGATGTGACGGTGGGGTGGTAGGGAAATGAACGGAGAGAGATAGAAAGAGCCTGATGGCCTTGGTGCGAAGGTGATGTTGTTACGTTACATTAAACCTGACAACTTCTTACATGATCATCCACAAAGTTATATGAAATTAGTTTGTTGGGTAGAGTTGTTCTATATTCTTTGCTTATTACTTGTCAAACTAGTTTCCAATGGTTTTGTCATACTCATTTCCTTTTATGCGCTCCAAGATGATGGTAGATTATAGATTTTCTGGTTTTTTAATCAAAATGGGATGCCTTTGAATGGTGTCTTTTTTTCCTTAAACAATCTTTGTTCCTTTTTACTTTCTTTGGTTCCACATTATTTTTTTGGACATCTAAAGAAGAGGCGTCATCATGACTATGATCATGAATCTTCTTTTTGTTTGAACTAGATGTCAAGAATCGAAGATTTCATACTACAATGAACCTATAAGTAGCACTATTGTTTGCGCATCCAATGAATGCATGATGAATAGTTTTAGGTCTTAGTTTCGTTTTTCTTGGTAACTGAACTTGCACTTTTGTTAGGCAACCCCACACTTTGAGGGTTTTATATGTCGATTTATAAGGTTACTCATCGGTTTTCTTATGAGGGATCTTATTCAATGTGACATTTGGAGCAAGTAAAGCTTCACCCCACAAATTGTGTGGAAGCCCTGAACTATTTAACATGGAATTAATCATATCCTTGAAAGTGGCTGATGTTCAACATTCTCGAATTAAGCATTTGGAA